AAAAAAAAAAAAAATTTTCTGTAAATGTTCTAGAAAGGTTAATGGCCACAGTTTTGATTATACACAACACATAGTATCTCTCAACATGGCCACTAGAGAATCTCTTCAGAGTCATGATTAGGATCTGATGGGGGCAAGAGATGGCAAAACTGAGTGGCAGAGTTAACTGAACAAGTGAAGGGAAACGGGAAAAGTGCTGACACAATGGCTGTGGAACCCTGAGAAAGACAGCACGTGGCATGGAAACAGGCAGAGACTATAAACAGTGTGTAAAATAACAGAATATAACTAAAGGCAGCAGAAAAGAAGCCACAGAGGCTCGGCGCCTGTAGCAGCAGTTATGGCGCCAGCCACATACACCAAGGCTAGTGGGTTCGAATCCGACCTGGACCAGCTAAACAATAATGACAACTGCAACCAAAAAATAGCCAGGCATTATGGTGGGTACTTGTAGCCCCAGCTACTTGAGAGGCTGAGGCAAGAGATTTGAGGTTGCCGTGAGCTGTGACACCATGACACTCTACCAAAGGTGACAAAGTGAGATGCTGTCTCAAAAAAAAAAAAAAGCCATAGAAAGCAATGCCAAAAATGTTCTTCTTAGCAAAGTATCTCAAGAATGGAAGAAAAGGTATCCAATGTACTCAGCCCTATTATGAAACTAGTTTATAGCTTTCATATGAAAGCTATGACCTAATTGTAGTTTAAGAATAGGGGAGGCAAGAGGGGAGCAGAGAAGGGTGGGTGGGTGGAGGGAGTGTGACTGGTGGGATTATCTCTATGGTTTACCTTACAGGGGTACAAGTGAATCTTTCTAAAAGTAGAATATAAACATCTTAACACAATAACCAAGAAAATAACATGACGTTATATTAATTAGTTTGATGAAAATATTTCAAATTGTATATGAAAATACCACACTGTACTCCATGACTGCATTAATGTACACAGCTATGATTTAATTTAAAAAAAAAAAAGAAAGAAAGAAAGAAAGCAATGCCGAAGAAGAAAGTTGCCTATAAGTATCATAAAGACTGAATTTAGGGCATGACAGCAAAGAGGTCTTAGTACAAAACAAAAGAAGGCTTAGTACACGTGAGGGAGACTCTCATTTGCACCTACAGGATGGCCTTACTTACACAAAGCAGATGGCCACACTTTGGGTTTGTACCTGAGGAAATGCCCAGTGCCTAGATTTCTGATTCTGAATCCAAGTTATCACAGAGGCCTTGTCTGGTCTCTTAGACACATTGGCCTTATCTCACAACTTTTGTTTACTCACTATCTCTTCCATCCCCCTCTGCTGAAATAAAGTGACATCCCCATTTTTATATACCTCTGAATCCATACCCAAGTGTCTTCTCTGTTTGGATTCCTGACCTCCACAGACTCTACAGGGCTGTGGTTGTGTATTCAGTCTTCCTATCTTTTCCTTTTCCCAGTCAAAGTATGACTCAGGCTAACTAAAAGTGCAGTGCATATATTCAACCAACCAAAAGCTGACATTAAGAGCTGGGTACTATTTTAGCCCTAGTAAACACAACAATCTTGCCGAATTCCTAGAAATCCTTTGTGCATTTTAATATAACATGTGAACCAATGGACAGAGACCAAAGTGGCCTCTAAGATGATCTGGTTAGTTTAAAATAAAACCTTAACTGTGGGTGGACACAGAGCTATGTCAATTCCAAGTCTGATTAAGAGCAGAGAGTTAACTTATCCTTCATGCTGTATTCCAGAGATAGGTAAGATAATGGGTTGCAAGAGAAGTTAATTGAATTAATGCCTTTCACACCCAAATCTCAGATAAGCAAGGCCCATTTCTGCCTCTTATGAAGGACTCTTTCATTGAAACATGAAAGTAGTTTTCAATAACTACCACCCACATACTAAACTCTTCATACAGAGCTATATATATATATATATATTCATAGGTACAGGACAAAAATACTGCATTAGAAGAACTGGGGAAATGTATTGCAAAGTGGTTGAAAATTACCTGTTGCTTTAAAACTATGTCAGAGAACAAGAAGGATATTTCAAATACATCTCTAAGTCCAACCTCAGTGGAAGTCCATCCTACACTTTAGTTCAAAACTTCATTTGGAAGCAAGGAAGGGCATCAAGTGTTTAACATGCCTACCAAAGCATATACGGAATAATTTTTTCTTCTGTTTTCCTCAGTCTAGCTCAGTGCCTGGGCATAAGCAGACCCGGAGCTCAGGGCCAAAAGCCTCTAAAGCAGAGCTTTCTGGTCCACCCCCAGGACCAAACACTACACCAAGAAAAGCAAGGGTAGGACAGGATGTTTCCTTCTTCACCCACTTGCACACACCTATATCCCTTTACTTTATCTGAGAAAATTGCAGAAAAATGCAACAATCATGTTGCCCCTGGTTAATCATTACCCTGCAAGGCAACTCGTGTTCATCCCACTAGATCAGAATTCTGTAGCTGAGGACCATAATGGTGGCCTCCCCTAATCTCAACCCCAGGATACAATTAGTATAATCCACTTCTTCAGCTTTATGAAAAGTGTGTTGATGTTTAATTTGAAAAACAAAAACAATTCCGTAATTGCAGCTTCTCTCTAGAAGACAAGTCCCCAGGCTCTTTGATGATAATTGTCAAGCTCCTTTTGGGGACTTTTCCCTGTGGAAGCCCATCATTTGGGGAAGGTCTAGGAGAAGAAAGGTATTGAACTAGGGAAGAGAAGGAAGAATAAGTAAGAGGTTTCACTTTCAGCTGTCATTAAATAAGAGTTTCAACAATAAAGCAATGAGTTTGGTTGTATTTATACATTAATGTCCTATTGTATTTCATCAAAAAATGTGAGGTAAGAATTTGTACCAGTTCATGTTACAACAAAGGATTCCAGCTAATGGGATAATGGGATATCCATGATAGTCCTACCTATGGGAGTTCTAATCTAAGATATTTCCATGCCAAATGCCCAGAGTTGTATCATCAGAGCATGATGGAATGCCATTTGATTAGCAGACTGGAGGTGTCAAAGAAGAAAAAGCTTGCTGTAATTGCTGATACCTATTGTGGATCTATAACTAAATAAGCAGGGAAAAGTTACAAACTGAATTTAGCAAATGGAAAACCTTTCAAGACCTACAAGCCTGTAGAAATGGTTTTACACTGGACTTACATACAGATTCAACGTACAGCTATTGAATACTTTATAGTGTGTGAAACTCCTATAGGTTTTAACTGAAGGTATTAAAAATTTTAAATAAAAATAAAATAATGAAGGTATGAATACTAAATAATTTAGGCGATAATATTATGAAAGTGAAAACCTTTCATTAACAAAAACCAAATGTTTTTAAAAAGTGACTTAAGAGACTAAAACTAAAAAAGTTCTCATCAATATTGTGTTAAAGATCACAGTGATATACGATGCAAATGATCTCCCTGGAGATGCAAACATCATGTGCTTTGAGACACTTATTCTTTGAACCTTATTTAATTATTTTTTGATACAGTCTCACTTTGTCACCCTTGGTAGAGTGCCATGACGTCACAGCTCACAGCACCCTCCAACTCCAGAGCTCAAGGGATCCTCTTGCCTCAGCCTCCCAAGTGGCTGGGACTACAGGCGCCCACCACAATGCCCAGCTATTTGTAGAGATGAAGTCTCGCTCCCTGAGCTCAAGGGATCCACCCACATCAGGTGTGAGCCACCGCTCCAGGCCCGAACCTTAGGCTTATGTTTAAGTACTTAGGATATGATACCATCTCTTAAGTCTAGGAATGTGGTTCCTCAAAGTACTGTAAGAATCCTAAACGTTTCTTCACAGTCACATAATGTGGATATTGATGGAATTTCTGAACAGCTGCAAGGAAATTCCAAAACAGAGCCAAACAGAAAAAGTGTTTTCTAAAGCTCCAGATAAAACTTAAAAGAGCTCTGCTAAATCTTTCCAACTGGAGTCGTCAGTCCATCCAGGCAGTCATCACCACTGCACCCAGAGGCACCAATTGGGAAAACACGGCTGCTGCACCTTCCTAAGACCAACCAGCAACTTTCTGGTTGGCCAGCCTTCCCTTCAGAGAAGCCTGGACTCTCTAGGGGAGGGGAGAGAAAACGGTATTTCTAAAGATGCCAATTGTCAAGAAACTGTTTTCATAAGCATTTATCATTCAAATAAGAGGGAACCATCCCGCTGGGATCCAGGGAAGGAGCGGCGGCGCTGGGCGCCCGCGAGGCCCGCAGAGCAGAGCGCGCAGGCGGAGCAGCGTCCCAAGGCTGCCGGGCCGGGGAGCAGGAGCTCGGCGCCGCCCTCCCCGCCCTCCCCGGCGCGCGGCCGGCCGCGGACCTACCAGCGAGAGCACTTTATAGGTGTTAGGGTCCTTGGCCGGGCGGGCGCGCGCCGCCTTCTCCAGCGGCTCTTCCCCCACGTCCATGGGGGCCAGCAGGGACGCGGCCGCCTGCGGGTCCGCGGGAATCTCGGTGGCATGGCCGCGGCCCAGGTCACGGCCATTCCCCGCCAGGCCCTCCCGAGGGCCACGCCCGCCCTCGCCGCCGCGGCTCCCGCCCCCCGCGCAGCCGTCCCTCTCCATCGTGGCCCCGGGCACTCGGCCCCGCCGCCCCGCAGCTTCTTTAATAGGCTCCGCGCCGCGCCGCTCCGCCCCGCCTTGCCCCGCCCGCCGCTCGCCGCGGTCAGACCCTTGGCTCGGGTCCCTGCGCCCGGCGCTCGAAGTGAGGGCTAAGCGACTCAACGCCCCGGATTATTTGGCTTCCTGTCTGATTTCGGACACTCTGTGTTGGTTATTTTGGGTCCGGTACGTGGGCGTGTCTTGATCTCCCCCCTCCCACCCTTCCCCGGCCCGCGCCCAGGCCACCATCCGAACACTTGCAGGAATCGCCCTGCGTGGCCTCTCGGCGCGGGCAGAACTGGAATTGCAGAGTGTGGTCTGCAGAGGGCATGAGCTCATGGGTCCCCAAAATAGAGCGGGCAGGAGAAGAAGGATGCAGCCGCCGATGCTGCCCCGCCAGCGGGAGTCTTGGGCCCGACTTGCGTGTTTCTGGATGTAAATGCAAATGACCCCTGGGCGAAGGCGACTTTGTTTCTGTCACGTAAAAACATGCAAAAATTCCCTTAAAGTCCTGTCAGCCATTAGAGGTGTAAAGGAGGGTGCCCAGAGACGAGACCGCAGTGGAAAGGTTCAGGCCAGGTTTAATTGAATGGGGGAGCGTAACCCTCCTAGGCAGTGCGAAGACAGCGTCTGCCCCCGAGGGCAGTTACAGACACCTATTTATTTGGGGCCAGATGGGGTGGCCGCATTCCACAGCTTGCCTGGAAAGTTGGGAGTCTTTTGGCGGGAACTACCTGGGGGTGGGCTAGTCAGATACTTTCTGACTTTGTCTTCGAGGAGAAGAGGAAGAGGGGGAGGGGAAAGGGTTTGTGTGTGGCTGCTGAAGGTGCCCCAACAACACCTTACCTAGGCCAACCTTAAAGCATGTGGGTTTACCTATGCTGTAAACATACAAAAGGGATATTTAGTTTCCCACGGTTTTGTGTGGTTTCTGGAGTTTTGGTGTGCTATGGTTTTAATGTATTTATTTTAGTTCTTTTAGACTTTCTGTCCGAAAAAGTTTCAGAGTGTCGCCATATGGGAAAATGTTAACCAATCCGAAATACTCTGATAAGCCTTATGTTTGAGCTAGGACACGAGCAGTTGGTAATTCTTGGTGGGTCTCGTTTCACCTTTGTCCTGGAAATTTTACCTTTCATTGCTCATCAGTTAGCAAATCCACACGTCCTAGTGAAGTGTCTTGTCACAGGCAAACCAGTCACTTTGCACAGCTTTACCATTCCAGGGACTGACTTCTGAAACTATGAAAATGTTTACAAGCCGAAAATGATTAATTTTCAATTTATTTTGATTACACAAACATATAAAATGTTTAAAATGAGAATAATGAATGTTATTGCCCTTAAAAGAGTCAACTTGGGATGCTCTCCATTTATACTGACTCATCTGTTCATTTATTTATTCATTAAGTAATGAATCCTTCAACTTAATCTTTTGGCCCCCAATTATGTACACCATGCGAAAAATGAATCAAAATGGATCTTTCAAATGGCCCTCAAATCTGGTGAAAGTTGGGGAATAGGACCAACTCGTAAACAAATAATTAAAACCTGAGTCACATATGCATAATAGAGTCACACATGGGCTATTAGGAGAACTTAGTAGAAAGGGCAATTGACGTCTGGAAAAAGTAAAAGCCTTCCCTCAAAGCGTTATTGAACTTTTGTTTTTAAAGTTACCTTTGAGTCAGCTCACAAACCACCCAAGAGAAACAGGTTCTCACTATTTCATAGTCACACATGTTTTTTTACCCCAAATTTGGTTCCAAATTTTCCTTTGACACTTTCCAAAAATCAAATTCAAGGACAAAGATTTGCTCCACTGAGACTAGTCAAATGAGTATCAAAACTTCTGAAAACAACTCAGCAAAGACATTCCAAAGTGGCTTTGAACCCAACAAAACAAGCGGAAGAACTATACTGCCTGCATCCCAGGGCAAGGAACCACTTTAAAGACTTCACCATTTGGAAAGGTCAGTGTACAGTCTTCAGGAACCATCAATGAGTGAGGCAGCTCCCTGGAGACAGGGCAAAAGGCAAACCAGGTACCTGCCCTGATAAAGGGCACATCATATATCCAATGGGATTGTGGGCCTGATGTGGACAGACGGTCAGATTTTTCAAGAGAAGCAGGAAATTTAGATGTTTGTGTGAACTCCCCAGATTGCAAAATGTTGTCTACAAAAATCAGAAAAATAATTTTCTTTAAACACTTTAAAAGCCAAACAAAATGTGACACATCTGCAGGGTGGGCTTGGCACCACACGTCAAGGATGTGGCCTCTGCCTTATGTTCATGCCTCGCCTGTGCCAGAGTGAGGGACTTTTATGGGTAATTATGAAAACCCAATTGTAAGTCTAAAATTAAGTATGCCACTTGTTGGTTTAGCTATGGACATTGCAGTGCTTGTAATAAAGTCTTGTCATCTTTATTCTACTTGGTCTGAGGGATAGCTTCACATTCCAGAGTACAATAAGAGCATCAGACTTAAAATTGCAACACAACTTCTTGAGTTAGTACACAGCTGAACAATGAATGTTTTATTCCTGTTTCTAAATCATTCTGCTTTAGAGATTGAGAACTGTAATCTAGTACAGCAGTAAATATGATAGTTTAAGATTTTACAAGATTCCTTCAGTTTTACTGTAACACATAAATATTTAAATGTTTCTCCCTCGGTGCCCGAAACTTCAGATGTAGATAAGACCATAACACCAAACAAAACCAATTTATCTATGTTTAAACTATGACTTCTCAAAGTTGAGAAACAACTCTTCTTAGCTTTCAAAAAATGAGTAATTATTTTAGCAGCTACAAAAGGGCTTTTCCAGTTCTATTCAGTTTGCCAATAAAACATAAAACACATCTAGCCAAGTCTAAAAAAAAAAAAAAAGCCTCTTGAATCTTCATGAGGCCTAGGAAAAACCATTCTTCCAAGGCATTAATTTATTTCTAAGATTTTGTATGGCTTTCTGATTTTTCTTTCTTTTTTTTTTTGAAAGCACGAAAATATGCCCTGAGGAGCAAGAAGTTTGGATAACCATATGATCTTGAATAAATTATAAGAAGTCTCTGAGCCTTAATTTCCTTATTTATAAAATGGTCCTACAAATGATATCACGAAATTATGCTGCTATCTCTAAATCCAAACAAAATGTTTTCTGTTTCCCCATCTATACTTAAAAATTCAAATCCATCCTTTCCATTTTTATATCATTCACTCACTACCTTTAAGAAGAATAAACTTTAATTTTTACATAAATTATGCATGATTTATAGCTATTCTTGGAGGAAGTATGAAAGCTGCTGTTGAATAGGCCAGGTGTGATAACTCTTGTCTGTAATCCTAGCATTCTGGGAGGCCGAGGCAGGCAGATAACTTGAGCTCACAAGTTTGCATCTACAAAAGGGTTCAGAAGAGGGAAAGGATACTTACCGCTCTGGGATAGAACAGAGATGTCTGCAAAAATCAGGTAACAAAATGAATGAAATGATCTTAGAAGTGTCAGATACAAGGGGGAGTAAGAGAAACTGGGCAATGGAAAATTCATACCCCATCTAAAGAGAGCAGGTGTCCAGTTCTTCACTTCTTGGTTGCCCACATTCCTTACCACTCCTCCATTATTTCCTTTCATCTCCATTTTAAACAAAATACAGTTTGCCAGGTAATCTGAATTTTAACAGCTTTATTAAAGTATTACTTACATATTATACAATTTATTCATTGTAAGCATACCTTCCATGTTTTTTAATAACTTGTACAGTTGTGCAATTATTAACACAATCCAGTTGGGGAACAATTGCACCACCTCAAAAAGTTTGCTTCCTGCACATTTGTAGTCAAAAACTGCCCTCCCTCTAGTCTTAAGCAAAGATTGCTCTGCTTTCTGTCTGCATCTGTATGTAATGTTAGGATTACTTCATCAATTTCTATTTTGAAGAGTGTGCATTTCTTGATACTATTGTGTTTAATCTATAAATTAAATTGAGAATCATTTTCTTCTTAACAATATTTAGTCTTCTAAGCTATGAACAAGGCAGATCACTTCATTTATTTAGAGTGCCTTTAATATTTCTCAGCAGTGCATTGTAGTTCTCAGTACACAGGTGCTAATTTTTTTTTGTCAAATCTATTCCTAAGTATTTTGTGTTTTTAATAATATTATGAATGAAATTATTTTCTTAGTTTCATATTCAGTTTGGTCATTGCCAATGTACAGTAATGTAATTCGGTTTTTGTGTATTTATCTTGTATCCTGTAACCTTACTAAACTTGCTTATTGGTTCTTCTAGCTTTGTGTGGTTTGGTAGATTACTTAGATTTTTCTAAATACAAAACCATGTCATCTGCAAATAATGACAGATTTACTTTTTCTTTTTCAATCTGTATCTCTTTGGTCTCTAATTTTATGATGTTATTTATTTTCCTTTGGAATCACTTGTAATGTTGACCATATAAAATTAGCCGGGAAGGAATTTTTTTCTCTCCTCTACTTTCTTTTTTAGTTTGTTTTTTTGTTTTTTTGAGATAGAGTCTCAAGTTGTCGCCCTGGGTAGAGTGCTGTGGCGTCATAGTCCACAGCAACCTCTAACTGTTGGGCTCAAGCGATCCTCTTGCCTCAGTTTTTATATTTTTTAGTAGAGACAGTGTCTCACTGTTTCTCAGTCTGGTCTCAAACTCGTGAGCTCAAGCTATCTACCTGCCTCAGCCTCCCAGAAGGCTAGGATTACAGATGAGAGTTACCACACCTGGCCTCTCCTCTACTTATGAGAAAGTTTGTGTAGGATTGGTATTAGGTCTTCCTTAAATATTGAATAGAATTCTCTAGGTGAAAACATCTCTACCTAGGTTTTCTTTGGAGACAAGAGTCTTACTTTGTCACCCTCTGTAGAGTGTGGTAGTATCATAGATCACAGCAACCTCAAACTCTTAGGCTCAAGACATTAACTTGTCTCACCCTCCTGAGCAGCTGGGA